ATCAGAAGCTAATGTTTCATTGCCTGACACTGGATCAAATGCTTTAGTTAATTACAAAAATCCTCAGCCAAGTACATCCAAAGAGAACTCTTTTCTAACCATGGCTCCTATACCAACCAAAAAGGTTACCAAATGAGTTAAAAGGAATAATCGAAAGAAAATATGTTCGAAAATACTTACAAGCACACCTGTCCTGGAAGAATTAGAAATAGCCCAAGAAAAGAAAAGATTAAGGGAAGAAAACATAAAGAAGAAGGAGAAAGACAAAACACTCAAAAAGAAAACTGTAAGAAGATGTTTTGATGGAGAAACAGAAACACAAGAGAGAAAAAAATTAACGCCCAACAAAAAATGAAGAGAGAGGCAACACCTGAGACATCTGATGACTCATTGGAGGAGGATTTGTCCGACATATGCAACGACGACGAGTTAGACGATATTGACTTAAGCTACATACCATCTTCTCCAGTAACACCCTCCAAACCTAACGAGATATATTTGATATGTGGAGAAATTGGCAGGAATGGAGAATTATGATACCGTGTGTGTTATGCTCTTCTTGGAACCATGCAGACTGTACAGGTGCAGACACTCCTGAAAATTACAAATGTGACTTCTGCTTACATTAAACTTAATATTTTGTAACTAGTTTTGATGTTAATTTGAAGAATAAATATTTTTTTCTACACCCGTATTATAATAATGCACTTATATGCCCATAATCCGTTTCATAATGATACCCATTATGATACAGATTTTTCATTACGATACAGATTTTTAATCAATAGAAACCTACAATTTTTCAATCAAGCATGCTGTTTGACGTTTGTCCTAGGTTCCTATGTAATTGTTTTAGTTGTCAAAACGTATTAAATTTTCGTAGGTAGCTAAACTTCGATAATTATAATATTAAAATGTCTGATATTAGCGATATAGAAGACTCCTCCACACATATCGGAGAAAGCAGAAAATACAGTACAAAATATTTTACCGCAAAAATCTAGGGAAATACCAATACCCGAAGTAATACCATTAATTACAATTTTGTAGAATTTTTTATAGAAATACGAGTAATTACTGTTATTGTGTTCAATACCAATATAAATATAATATTTATAGGTCTTGATTATTTATCGGGTGTAGAAAAAATAGCGTATGCAACTCTCATGTAATGGTTATTAAAACACTCGCATAAACCATACGAAACTCGCCTTTGGCTCGTTTCGTATCCCGGTTAATGCTCGTGTATTAATACCCATCATTACATGATCGTTGCATAATATACTATTTTTATAACAAAGATTTATTGCGCACGATTACCTAACCTGTGCGCATCATTGCCCGCCGGGGTGGGTAATTGTGCGCTAATGCAATTTTTCACTTTTGTAAATGTCACTCTTTTGTAGTAATATTTTCTTCAAATATTATTTCCCATATATAAATTAGAATAAGTGAGGCACCTCATACCGTTTTTCAAATTAAATTGTCTATCATAGTCTCACCACAAATAAAATTTCCGCTTAAGTGCGCACCATTTCCCAACTCTCCCTTAATAGTCGATAGTTATTGAAAGTTGACCAACCAGATTCTTTCATTTTATTTGAGTTATGATCAAATTTTCGAATTCCATAGGCAAAGCGTAAACAACTAAGTATTCTGAATTTTTTGTCTGAATGGAATTGGAGGAAAGCTGGACCATATATAGAAATAATAACTGAGTTTAGAAAAAAGGAGATATTATCAAAGTTAAAGTTTGAGTTGTGTGTAAAGTAGGTCTCGGTTAGGGAAGGTACAGCTGTCTTAAGATTTGCGATATGACAGATGGAGCCACTTCGAATGATGGAAAATTGTAATCAAAATGGCGGCTTAGAGTCGTACTTTGATTTATTTGAAGTCAATAATTTTATATTTGAAGATTGACTAAATGAAAATGTTTTTATAACATTTAAATGGAGCTCTTTCAAAAAAATTGCATTTATTCTTACCAAAATTGACTAGTTCCACTAGCTCGAGTTTAACACATGACGTAAAAGTGTAATGTAAAAGTCCTGACACTTTTAGTATCGTGATAGCATCTTCTATTTATTCTATCTCAATGGTTTACTTAATCGAAGATCAGAATCTAACCAGAGACCTATGTTTTTACCTTCATTCTTGAGTTGAAGAAGAGTATGGCCTAATTTAATTTGTAATTCGTTCAATATTAATTATCTTAATTTTTTACGGCCGAATAACATGACGAACAATTTGATGAAATTTATTTTAAGGTTGTAAACTGTAGAAATATAAGGTTTAAACACCGACGCTGGTGAGCACGTTACCCTCAATTACCAGAAATTTAGCCGAATCCTTTAGTGTTCCAACCAGAGGTAGGAATCTTTAACGAGCTCAACATCTATGGACGCCTACCTGCTGTGGTATGCAACTGAACGACCAAGCTTTCATTGATATGGTCACTTATCCAACTACTAACTGCGCTCGGCCTAGCTTGACTGCAGCTATCGATACATAATAAGTGAACCTGCTGAGCCTGGCTGCTGCGCTTAAATCAGCATTAAAAAGATTAATATCAAATCGTGAAAAGTCTTGATAAGTTATATACTTATAGGTAAGTCAACAAATCTATGTAGCAAAGAACAACTTGACGATATGACATCTAATACTTCAAGATGTATTGTTTGATTGATATCTAATATCTGACACAAATATAATGTCGATGAGAGTTTTGCTGTGCGTGGTAATATGGGTTGCTACAATTTGTGTTAGTCCATAGGAATTTAAAAAATTTATGCATAGATCGCAACTTTTACTAGGAGTGAAAAAATATATAAATAATATATCATCAAGGCAGCTAATAACAGAAGAAATAGGGGGATTATATAAAACTGGTTTTTCACGAAACTTGGTAGAAATCCAAAGTTGCTCAAGGTTAGATGTGATATATACCTCAAAGGCAAAGAATCGTATGGAATTGGAGAAAATGAGGCCCAAATTTGGAAATACGACTTTAACCAATTAATTTGTATTTGGGATAAGCAGTACCTGTGCTTGACTGGCAAAGAACAGGTGGATAACCACTAAGCACTAAACTCACTGGCATAAGTGGACACAGAATCAATAAGCTTATGCTAAGAATACTAAATCCAACGATGTCTGCTGAGGTACTATAGCTCGCAAGATCCCAGATATCCACCTTTGTGGGATAACTAATAGGACACTGCTTGCTAAAACATCTTCATTTAATGGGATTTTACAATGTTCCTGGCAAGTGTAGACTCTTCATGGAAAAGGAACCTAGTAAAATTAACCAAAGATACAGGAGTATTCAGAGATAGTATCTGACTACAGGGGAAAGCATTTTTATAAGTTTGACAACTATGTTAGGACAAAAATGAAACAATCATTGGTTTGTATATCAGTTTATTGTACTTACTGACTAAACAATGTAAAAATTTAACAATGAAATATCTATGTAGATCACAACATGAATTAGTAAGCTCAGTATGGTGTCCTGACGTACTTCAGAAAATATTTTGACACTTCTTATCAATTTACAGCATTCTTATTTCATCAAAAATAGGCCAGTATAATACAATACTTTACAGGGTTCTAGTTTAGGCGGAGAATTTCAGTTCAGGCATCTAAACCAATAAGATGCTTGAATCTATAGTTAAAGGAACTTAAGGTGTAATTGAAATATTATGATTATGTACCTTTTCAGTTTAAATGTCTGAATATATTCCTGCATTATGCTGATATTAACAAAAATTAAACGCATGTTATTGTCTTTAAAAGTTTACTGAAATATTTTTCTTATCGTACTAGGAAGACTGAAAATAAGAACTTTAGAGCCAACGTTTTATTTATTGACATTTGGAATGTCATTTCTGGACAGCTTATTTTTTTTTCGGAAGAATAGACTTAATCGACAAGACTGCGAAAACTAACATCAGTGGTATCAAAGATAAGTATTTACCTATTTGGGCTCAGTATATCAATCAAATTATCTGAGAATCTTTAATGTTTTTATTTTCTTTGATTTCTTCACTTTCATACTCTCTGGTACCTAAAGATGTTAGCTTTCGTGTTTTTTTAAATTCATGTTAATTTTGGAAGGTTTAATAAAATAAATAAATGAAACAGCCCAACAAAATGACATCGTTTTCTTAGCACCGGAAGAATAGTGTATTTTGGTCATTTAACTAGCATGAAAGAAGATTAAAATGCCCATGAAAAACATCAATGGTAATTTGAATCAATCTAATAATGGTAAACTTTTTCTTTGGACAGCAAAATGGATGTACAAAATACCCTGGTCTTCATGTTTCTTTGACAGCAGAACTAAAGATCAGCACTGGATTAAAAAAAATTATCTTTTTAGAAATGTCATGAGTCTAGAAAAACAAAACGTAATTAACGAATCTTTGGTTACGAGGGAAAATCATATTTTGTTCTTCTAAAGCAATTTGTGAAGGTTTTAACTCGAGATGGACTTTATTTTGGCTACTTAACACCTACATTTCTTGGGATTAGCACGGAAAAACTGGAACCCGGAATATTTGATGGTCCTCAGATAAGGCAGCGTGTTAAAGATCCACAATAAACTGTATCAATGTATCTAATTCTTGGTGTTTATTTTTTGAGACAATAATCTGAAATGTACAATTGATTTTATTTAAAAATAGACCAATATATGTATCTTAAAAACTCGACCCGTTATACCAAATCTGACGGCTATTTTGGATTATGTACCAAAAAAATTAATTACTTAGAAACAGTTATAAAATCGCAGGTACCAAACTAGACTAGGCAAATTTAAAAAAAAAATGTACATTAAGTGTGAAGTTTTTGAGGACATTTATTTTTTCAAAATAGGGAGAGAAACAAAATATTTCTTTCAAACTACAGTAGAAAAAATATTTATTGTTTAGATTTATACCAAATTATAACACATTTGTGCAATGGCTAACTTACTTACCCATTTATTTTTTTGTTGACTGCTCTTTTATCATAGAATGCAAATCTAATAATCCCAAAAAATGCGACGTGAAGTGAAGTAAATTATAAAAGTCACATTGAGAAGGAAGTAGGATTAGGTAGACCTAGTAAAATCTATGTAGTTAAAAGATGTATTTTCCAATAAAAAATAGAATTAAGCAATTAGCATCAAGAAGAAGATAGAATAGAATAATTTGTCTGAAAAAAAGTGACCAAGATTTGAAACACTATTTTTGCTTTGAGTTAGCACTTTCTCCGCCATCTTTGTTTTACAATAACTTAATGAGAAAAGGAAATAAAGTCAGCTTAATACCACTATTAAAAATTGAAAGTTGCAGCAACCCCATGAGCGAAAACACATATTGGAGTTATACAGCCAAAACTTTATAGTCGAAATATTATATTCATCTTACTTATTTAAAACTTTTAGCGAAAATTCGATAATTATGTTCGATTGATAGAGAAAGACGAAGAAAGAATAGGAAATACCAGTTGAAATTATTCTTACCAAATCAACAGTCAAACCAATAAGTCAAGCTGATTTTTTAGGCCATAAAAAATTAATTTCAATTAGTACAACTAATTAAGAAGCAATTTAGAGAATGTATTTAAACGTTGAAAAACATGTCTCCTTAAACTTCATTGAGAAAATGAGATTTGCCTGGTCTAAGATGTCTGTTGGGCTGTACAATAATTGCTTCGTAGATTACCTTCCTTGTGTGTAGTCTTAATACCCTGCACTTTCGCTTAATTTTTGCAAGATTAATTTATCTTCAAGAGGGTTTCTTATTTATTACAAGGTTGACAGACAGGAAACAGACACATCTAACTTCTTCGAGTTAAAAATAATCGTAATACGAATGTGGGTACGATGTATGCACTTGTTTCTGTAGTATTCATAGCCGTACCATGCTAAAATTGATATAATACATTATTTGTTTTATTGTATGATTAGCAATATCGATGGGTATATGCTGAATTTTTTCGGATACTGCAAACTTAAATTTAATCATTTCATTTCACTCTACACTATTTTTATCAAAAGAAAAGTCTAATGATTCTAAAAAAAATCAGCATGACCCTCGTTAAAGAATGTAGACATTCAGAAAAATTTTAACCATGTCAAGTGACTTACTTGATCCTGTGGAAGAAGCTAAAAACTACAAATGGAATGTGAATTATTATTTACACCAACAAAAATAGAATTGTTAAAATATCATTTGGAATGTAATAAATATATCTATAAAATTAGGAGAAAAATTATATAATAAATTCTTCATTGTTATATGGACCGAATTTTCTACCAAAACATCATCCTTCCTTATTGATTAAAGAAAAATATAATAGAGCATGTTTTTTTCACTGTATCAGATTGTATAAAAACGAATTTGCTACCAAAAATAGTATTGGTTTCTCATATTCGTTACGTTAATTTAATAATTGTTCTCATTTGCATTCCCAATTAGGAAAATTCAAATCTCATTTGTTTCAATAGGCCTCCATTTGCTTTTATTCCTCTCTGCTTGTTATTATCCACCTCATATGTAGTCTATCTATCTCTATCCCTATCCTTTTCCCTCTATCACCTTCCACTCCAATCAACTTCTTCTTCTCGATCCAGTCAATTCTTGTTATGTGTGCTAGTCCCTTCGTCCAGGTCGACTACAAACTACAATTGGATTAAGGTATATCAGGAGGTAGATAAATATTTGCTGAATGGTCTTATATGGTGTAGGGATGGATCCAATCACAGAACATATTCTGGCATACATGAAGTAAAACCTAACTCAATATTACGAAGAAAAATGATGGATTGGCCAAAATTTCGAAAGAACCATTACAGGATTTTAAAATTTCGTGAATGCCTTTGGATAATAGTTAACTAGTATACATATTATAGAGAAAACAGAATTGAAAATCGTATTGAGTATAATAATCTACTGCTAATTGTGGCCCACATATAATATTTTATTGCACAAAAACATCAACAATGCTTTTTTAATTGCTAACTGCAATATTTTGGTAATAACAAATAACAATACACCCAAAAACAAAAACACTGTACCTAGAATTAGTTAAATGTGAGCCAAAAACTAATGCTGTAACTAATGTTTTTTCTCTAACTCTAAATATTATCTACTTGGAATAAATGTAGCATCTTCATCTATCTATTGTTTAATAAAAAAACGTGTTTCTACTAAAAACATCAACGAATAATATAATACGACCAGTTGAATTCTTATAAAAACATTCATATACAACCATTTTGTTTAGCTCATTTAAAACTATACTTATACATAAATATCACATTCAAAAGAGTTAATAAAAAAATATCAATATCAGTTAGGGTGGGGTTTAAACATGTTCATATAGATATTCGGTGCACTCCTAGTTATAGGCTCATAAAGGCACATAGAATAGCTTGGCTAGTGCACTTAAAAAGAATAAAATATAACAATACAATAAAGACCCATCGGATACCTGGTAGGAAAAAAAAATAGAGATAGGCTCAAGAAAATATGGATGAACGATGTTTTAGAGATGATGTCAGGTTAATGTTGATGGAAACTTAAAATGTAAGGCATTAAACATGATTGATTGGATGAATCTTGTTAAACATACTCGGGTGCAGCTTTTCTGGCATCCCATGATATTATAGAAGCCACAATAGAATCGATATATGAATATTTTATAAGAATGATAACCAGTCACCAAAAAAATTACATCTACCAAATGAATATTGACCTAAAAACGCTATCCTAGTAAATTCTAGTAGTGGATACTAGTCTCCTTTAGAAATACCTATTATAGGCATTTTTTTAGCCAAGCTTTAATCAAATATTTTCATTATTTAAATTTTCAGTCTTTCAATTTAATCCAAGTCTAATTTTCGAAAAACTTCAGAGGAAATAATTTAAACTCAAAGCTTGTGCGTTTTTGTAAATCAAAGTAATAAACTTTAAACAGAGTAGTATATAATATATATAACAGTACTTATAGTATGAAAGAAGTTTTTAAAAAATACAGGACAATTAATTTTCCTCTAAAATATTTCAAGCATTAATCAAGGACTAATTAGGTATAGTACGAGCAAAATATACGTAATCATTGTCTTAATCCAAAAAAACATTATTTCAGTACATAGTAGTTCTAGGTAGATTGGAAACAAAATATATTCTGATATTGAAGGCTTTACGTTTGAAAATTCTAAAGCTATAAACCTTGTCTGCTTCATGATCTGTTTGTAGTTCACTGCAAAGTGGGTATTTAGCTGATACGAGGAATATTTCGCTTTTTATTTAATATAACCTATAAAAGATTTACATCTATGAAAACATTAAGTTTAAGAAGACTTAAAAACTGTCCACATAAAGTAACAAGAATAATTTGCTATAATTCCAAAGGTGAATTGAATAAATAATAAAAACTAACAAAAGTAAGTTCCTTTCTTTGTAGCCCAAAATATTTTACTATCACTATACCTAATTTTTACAATGTGCTCTTATTACATAATTCGTACGTTTTATATATTTCTAAAGTAGGCCTCTACCCATTGATTGACATCACACCAACGTAATGTTACATTACCTTCATTTTATCATAGGCTTCTTTTCCGGAAATATCTAGATTAACATGTTTGACGATTGCACAGTACCCTCTCACGAAATTTCTCATGCATATATATTATGCGAGCTTCTGTAAACTTGTTTCAATGAAGCAGAATGATCCTCAAGATTTCTCTTCAAGTTAACGATGGTATTTAGCAACACTTGCTGTCTAAGATTTTCGCTGCTACTCGTACATTCCTTGTGAAAAATGGTTTCCTCTGCGGCCATATTGAAGGCGACTGTTTTTGCAGATGTGTGGTTGTAAACCTTCCTCCGAAGTGGTTCACTTTGTGGACAACCAGTTTTTCTTAAGGAATGTCTCCGTGGAGCTTCGTCAGAGTCAGAGCTTGAGTCAACCGGACGTCTGTTCGGCTTTCTCCTGTGCTTCGGACTCATTCTATTTCCTTCTAGGTTCTTTTCCTTTAACGGGGTACTGTGAGGCTCTTCGTTTTGCTTTCTGGTGGATAACGGAGATTTGTATATCGGGGATTGTTGTATTTCCCACTCTTTACGAGCTAATACTGGTGAGTTACTTATAATAAATTTTGTGATATGATTCTTCTTAGGGCTAAAACGTGGACAGTTGTAACCATTATTGGACGGAATCTTAGAAACAAATGGGTTTGTCATTACACTGTCCTCTGTTATAGATGGACGAGTTTTGTTAACGAATATTTCTGGTTTGGCACATTCAGTTATCCTCAGAAGTTCGACCCTCTTATTCGCAGGGCCAGGAACTCTTCTAGGTGACAAACCATTGGTTTTCATGGCACGCAGTATTTGTTCAGCCTCGGTAATCAGTTCTCTATATTTCAAATCAGCTTCCTTATCTCGTTTATCTATTGTAGTGATCGGATCACGGTAAAAGCCTACGGAATTCGATCGCTTCCTCAAGCAATCGTCTATTGTTAATTTAGATATTGGTCTACAATTGGCACGTCGGACGGAAACAGGAGTAGCTCCAGCACTTTTAGAACCATCTATGTACGCATTTGCACGCTTATTATTTTCTTTTTCAAATTGCTTGGGCTGCCGCTTTTTACTCAAGCAGCATTTACGCTTCTTTTCACTCGCCTTATTATTCCTACGTTGCGTCTTTTTCCTAGACGACCTCTTCCTCTGGACATCGTAGCTGTAGTAAGAGCAATGTCCCGTGTTCAAATCCGTTCTAGCTTCGATTTCCAACAGCGATCCGTTGTCTATGAAGTCCAGATCGCCTTCTAACGTTTCATCCTCATCGCCGCCATCTTGACCGGTGTCGATGTCAGTTTCGCAATCCGTTGGGTCGCTGTCGCTTAAGATGTCAGTCTCTTTTTCATACACGTAACTTTCATCGTATTTGCCCATCATTTCGTTTAAAGTGCAATCCTCGTCGCTTATTGATTTCGCTCGGGGCATCTCCAGTTGAACGCTCGTAGCGCTCAATGATGAACTCGATGAGGTCGAAAGCGATCTACGTCTGCTCGCAGCCGGGCTGAGGAATCGACGAAGTTTTCTGCAAGCGTAAACAAAAACATAATTCAAATCATAAAAACTTGGACACAGATTACCCACACCAGATGCTATTAATACTCTTCCAATTCCAAATTCTTTAACAATAGCTACATATTGTTTTTATACATTTTTATTCGATAATACAAATTTATAAATAATATTACAAATTGTGTACCGTTTCTTTTTAACTTCATTAGCCTTGTTTACTGTTTTTTCTTAAATTTTAAACATACCTACCACTTATCTTAAAAAATGAACTACTTTTCTAGAATTCATTTAACATACTCGTACAATTGCTACCCTACTGTATTAAACTACATATTTACTGCTTATACCATCCCTGACAATTAAAACATATTTAAATAAACAAGGCAACAATGTTTAACTAATTAGAATTGGCAACACCCATACTATACCTATTTAAAGTTTCAAGGACAAAAAATCTCACTTCAAAATCTTTTCATCTTTTGCCGGTTTTCGAATCTGGGGTAATCTATGACTTGGCCATAAGCTTCGTAAATAAACATTGAGATAGCTACCAAGGTTATTTACTATTAATCAACTTACGGACTATCTTTAGAAGATTTGGTAGCGACAGAAGCCTTTTTGAGATCGTGCTTCACTGGACTTGGACTTAAGGTGCTTCCTGGAAGCCATGGATTAGTCCTAATCCTATTCCTTTGCCTTGGTGAAGTTACGCCTAGAGCGGGACTTATATTCACTATGATTTTCTCATTCATTCTGCTTGGCTGAGATGGTGGAACTTTCGGTTCTTCAATCACACGTTTCTGTGGGCATTCCACATCGTATATTAGCAAGATATACAGTAGGTATAGTGCAATTAAAAGGAATAAATTCATTATCTCATACGATTTTCAGGATATTTTCATTTTATTTACAACATACATATAATAAATCATGCAGGCTCTGATACACTAAATACAATCAAGTAATAGGTTTTCAAACTAATAATATGGGAATTGAAATATTTTATAATCCTAAATCTGTAATTCATGCAATGAAAAATAAAGAAGTAATTCAAAATGGTTTATTTTTGAATTACACGGTACCTACACAGATAATTATTTTTAAATTAAAATGTGTACGCATACAAAATTACTTATACCCACAAAACATTTAACCTAGTTCAAAACAAAATAATAAAGCATGGCGTAACATTGTAATAAAAATCTAAATATATAATAAGTAATTGATATATAAATACGAACCTTGAAAATAGGAGTTCGATGGTCTTTCAGATGATTTGGCACAACTTTTGCGGACTCCGGTACAACGTTATGGGTGGTTTTGCTACTTGAATTATTTGAATTTTGGATGGGATTTAACACAGCAACTCGTGGGTGACAGATATCTGCAAAATATTGCGAAAGGGTGTTATTTGACTTAGTTTGCAAAGTGCATCACAATTTCTTTCGCATAATTTAGAAAATGATTCTACGTAAAAAATTCGGAATAAAAATTAACTTGAGCGTATACCCTCAAGTAAGAATCTCTTCCCAACATGAACGAGAAATATTGCAAAAATCGACTTTCTTACCTGTTGCCTTGGAAGTATTGAGGAGATTTTCTGGAGGAGCGCCAGGTGAAGTACCATCTGTTGAATATCCTGTAGAGTAAGCGGATTCAGGAGAAGATAGATTGTTTGCAGAATATCTAGAATTCGAGACGCCCGATGTACCAGATTGACTCGAGCTTTCTTTCATTACATGCGTCTTAATTACCTCACGTTCGTTAACCTGTTGATCAAATTTTATATTAATGAAATACATGACTCTATGTACTTGGGTGTACTTTATCTATATTAAATAAAATGATAGGACAACTTAGATATGGCGTTTACAGGGTCTCGTGGGCCTATTTATATTGCCTTGCTTTATCAATAAACAGGTACCATTTCTGTAAAGTCATTAAATGTTCCGAAAGCGCTCTTAAAAAAAAATAACATCTGGACTCTCTTTCTAGGCATTTCTTTTTATTAAATGTGATACACAGGGTCCCTACTATTTCATAAGGACTAGTGATGCCGCGAGAGTGGCCTCTCTCGTCTCGTCTCGTAGGGCGAGAGAAAATTGTTCTCTCGTCCCGACGAGAAGGCGCTTCTCTCGCTCGAGAGAGCCTCTCTCCCGTCTTGTTTCGTCTCGTCTCGTTTCTCTCGTGATAAAACAATATCAAATTTAAATTTGAAGAAGACGAAACATGAAAAGACGGTAAAAATTTTAAAGACAAAAACAAAGAATTTTTCAAGTAATTTGCGCATTAGTACCCAAATTTGGCAAAAAGAAACACTTATGTCTCTCTGTCTGTCACAGTCGTTTTACAATTAAAATTTAAAGTAATAAGTGGCCCAGATTAGGCGTTAACTAAAAACGAAAATACTTTGTCTTGTAAGTCAGTTGGGGAGGGGGGTAAGAGGTTAAATTGAAAGTTAGAATTTTTCTAATGCAATCCTGCGATGTCAAATGAAAGCATTTTGTAATATGTTTTTAAAATGCAAGAAGATAGAGACATAAAACAAAAATGATGTGAAATTAGAGAAACATTATGATATTTTTGTTATAATGAGATGCACTTTACTTGAGACGTAAAATAGAGGACGTTACTATCTTTAAATTTTCTAATGGAAAGTAAAGTCATGTAATACCTCATTTGAAAGATATTTTGATTATATTTACGTCCAAGCAAACAGTTTTAATGTTTTTTGTTTTTACAAAAATTACTTCGTGTGCCGCAATGACCTTAGGAATGATAGATAATGTTGGAAGATAATTTTTTTAATAAGCTTTTTTTTGCCAAGAAGTTATGAAACATTTAATACGTTAAGTGGTTTTTAAATCACCTTTAATATTCCTAATTTATTTATTTTAGTAAATACAAGAAGCGTTTCCTTAGTAATAAACAATAATTGTTAATACGAGTGTTATCAAGAATGTAACTTATTAGTAAGAACAAAGTACCAGCTACAAAAAAATGCCATTTGTGCAGTGCTAAATCCCTCTAACAGTAAAAAATTACTTAAATTTATAAAAGATACTGACATTTACTCTTTACTAGCCAAAATGTTAATTATTCATTGTATACTATTGTAAAAAAGAGCACTTATAAGGTATTATAATGATCCTTTGAGGTTGAAGCGGTAAATAAAAAAAAAAAGAATTTAACCTACTTTATGAATTTATTTATTGTAATTTCTGTAAAAACATAAAAATCTAAATCTGTTTACATGAACGAAAAAATATATTTCAAATGAGGTATCCATGACCCTACTTTCCATTAGAAAATTTAAAGCTAGTAACTCCCCCTATCTTACGTGTCCCAAGTAAAGTGCATCTCGTTACAACAGAAATATATCACTTGAGTTTTACCTCGTTTTTGTTTTGTCATTATCTTTTTTCATTTAGAAATTAAAATAGTGAATAGTACAATTTTCGTCCTCACTGTATATAATACATTCGTTTGTATTATCTTTTCTTTGACAGTTTTTCGAAAAAAGGCTCTAAAGTAACCTCAGAAAACCAGAATGGATTAAATATAAGAAATGATTGTATAAATTTTAAATAAATGAAATGAGAAATATTTTTTCTTATAAATCACTATTTATCATTTGTTACCATTTAATATATATAGAATAGGTGTGTTATAGTTAACTTTTTGACTATCTCGAAATGTAATATGTTAAAATTTCAAGTTACGATAAGCAATTGAAAATTTGAAATAAGCAAAGAAAAAATTGTTCGAGAGAGCCCGAGAGAGCTCGAGAGAAACGAGAAATTCTCGTCGAGAGATGACATTCTCTCGTCTCGTCTCGAATCTGTTTTCGAGAGAAAATGTCTCTCTCGACAATATTGCTATTTCTTAAACGGTAACAGATAGGAAATTGGTTCAATTAGAAAAATGTTGCGCAGTTTCGTGCCCATTAAAATGGTGCCAAGAAACCTTTGACATCGACAGGAAGATTCAAAATATCGGACAAGAAATGAAAATTGTCATCTCTTTAAATTCATTCATTTTTTGTCCGATATTTTGAATCTCTCTGTATACAGGGTGTTAAAAAAAAAAGTGTCACAAAATAAAACGGGGGGTAGTATGGGCCAAAATATGCAGAAAAGTCTTAATAAACATATGTCCGCAAATGAATGGTTTCAGAGATACAGAGTGTTTTGTGTTTTGTATCATTTTTTGATTATCTTTTTTCATTCTCAAAAACTTGCTTTTCTTATCGGAGTCTACCGATGTTTTTTCATAGATACTATTTGCAGTTATTATTTTGTTGTGGGTGAATAATTTTATAAATTTTCGTTATGCCTGTTTACACTAATATTGAATTAGCTGACATGCATTTTATGTACGGTCGTGCAAATGGCAATGTGAGGGAAGCGCTACGTCAGTATATCGACGCTTTCCCTAATCATTGTTTTTTTATAATAATAAAAAATTGTTATAAACACAAAATGGTCCGTATCTCCGAAACCGTTAATTTGCAGTCATATATTTATTAAGACTTTTCTGCTTATTTTGGGTCATACTATTCACCATTTCATTTTGTGACACTTTTTTTTAACACCCTGTATATCAAAGGTTTCTTTGTACTATTTTAATAAGCACAAAAGTGCGCAATTTTTGTCTAATTTAACCAACTTTCTATCTGTTACCGTTTAAGAAAAAGTAGATACCCCGTATAGTTTGCCAAATTTATTCATCTGGTTGTCCATATACCCGATTTTTTTGGATTCTTTTCTAAATGTACTATGAACAGTGGCGTAGCCAGCCTTTTTTTTAATGGGAGGGGTTTTTGAGAACTATGGGGGGGTTCCATCAAGAAAGTGATTAAAAACAAACGGTCAATAACGATCAGCGCCAATACTATAGCGGAAATTGTGACGCGAGGATCCTCTATGGGGGGGAGAGTTCTGACCTCCAAACCCCCCGTGGCTACGTCACTGACTATGAACCAATATAACATTGCGTTAGCTCGATTAATTTACTATTTAGGACTTGAACTAGTAGGAAGGTACCGTTTTGGATTAGAAATTGGGGTTTATGCATAAAAAAATTTGAAATATTTTGGCAATACTATAACTGTTTAATGTGAATAATATAATCAATTCAAGTAATTAATTATGTGTTCGTAAGTTTGATTATTTTTTTATGCCTATATACTTATTTGAAATAGAAAATGCTGATTGTTTCTTATGCTCTCTCGTACTGGGGTGAAAGTAGTAAAACGAAACGCAAATTGAAAATTGATATTCTGTAAATAAAAATGAACAAAATCGGAAGTTCGCTGCATTACTTCCTCTCGGCACTAGGGTGTTCCTTCCCACGAACACAGATTAGGGGGGGTTAATTTAATAACGCGTAACTTTTTACTCACATTTTTTATTTACGTAAAGGTTATGGAGTAATTATTAAACACATTTTTAATCTTGTATAGTATAAAATGCAGATGAATGCGTGCAAATGTATGCATGGAATAATCTACGTGTAGCGTGGAAAAAGGTTGTTAATTTTCTTAATTATAATTAACTGGAATAAAAACAATCATATAATGAAAGAATGTGTAATGGTTAAAGGAACTTACTGCTTTGATTATACAGCGTGTCCCAAGTACACTTAAACGATTTAAACAACTTTCTAGGTATGTTTTTTGAAAAATCAGAACGTCCTTTATTTTAAAAAGTTCGCAAAGTCGGATGTCATTGAACCACTGAAACCATTGAATCTTCTTTATCACAGCCGATTTGTATTATTTAGGAGCAAAAGTAAAATTAAAATTAAATTAATTGCATCTATTTTATATTTCGCTCGCGTATCGGCAATGATGTTGATCTATCTTTGTTCTATCGAAACATAATATCTGCTCTTCCGAACTTTTTTCCATTTTTACACTACTAGCTAGAGATAAAACATAGTATATTATTTAACCAGCACGGAATTGTTCTTATTTCCAACGTGTATAAGCCATACGTACAAGTACCTAGACAAATAAATGTAGAATATATCCAGGAGAGATTATTCATTATCTCAAATTTGTTCGGTTGTGAAGTACCTAAAAAAACCTCTTAAAATCAATATCACAATATATATATTTTTTTATTAAATCAGATTGTCGCGACTAGTTTCGGCCAATATTATCATCAGGCCTACAATTCAAAAAACACAAAAATATATAATTACAGTTAAATGTAAATATTTAACAAATACCGTAATTCATCTTATGGGTAGTTGAACGGCAATACATTTATAGGGGGTTATTTAAGGTATACCTGTCGCGACAATCTAAAAAAAATATTGTGGCATTGATTTTGAAAGTTTTTCTTACTTCATTTATTAATAATTAAATTCGTCACAATAAAATAGGTGTGTGAAGGGGCATGGTACTCAGTGGGTAATGAGAGCCACCCTAATATGTAAGCTCACAAGCTGTCCGTAACGATGCGAAGCATTATTTAGTTTCTTTCAAAGAGTCTATGAGAACCGTTGGTTTTAAGATCTAATCGTTTTAGTGACCCTTGCAAATTCAATGAGTAATAATAAGTATTATCAATTTGATTGTTTTTATTTATGTTCTTTCTCTTGAGTACTTTCAATGGCTTTCAGATTTGTATGTTGTAAATACATTTTGTTTCTAACAGTTAACTTACAGATGCTTTTATATTTTGATTTATACCTATTGGAAAACCAATACTAGATTTTTTATATACAAGTGGTTCCCATCCCCTCATCTATTGACTGCATTTCTAATATGAAAACAAATTAATGAGAGCTGAATCAAAACAATTTCAAACAATATAACGTAAATCAACAATTATTTTGCATTATTTAAAAGAATAAAATATATAGGTATTCCTAGCAATTTAATGATAAGAATAAGTATAACTAAAGAACTATAAAAACATAACTAACCTTGTATTCACCAAGCACAGTGGTGCAATTAGTATCCCATTTAACATTATTTTTATGCCCCCCAACCAAATTATTACTTTTTCCCTGTTTCTCTTTCCTATGTTGCTTTTTCCTGGACCTCACAGCATCCATCCAAGATCGCAATTTGCTCCCAAACATTTTTACGCTCTAGAACAAAAAAAAACATTAGCGATCGCCTGGAGCCATTCAAAAACATTAACATATTATTTTCAACTTCAATAATTCAAAATGTTTGAATTAAAGAGACGTACCTCTTAGCTGATTAACTTTCGTTACATTCTACGCTTTTATGAATTCTGTATTGAATGTCGAAGTGAATCTTTTTGTGTCTCGTAGGTTTTAATTTCTTCCATCGTTAGTAGGCGTGAAACGGGCACAAGATACTCCTTTTACTGTAGCAGCATCGGTGGACGTCAATGTCGCAAATGTACGACGCCGGCGCCGTGACGCTGTGACGCCGTCTATACCGGGCATTTAATCTGGTTACAGTGGTTGAAATTCGGAGCCACCACGTTGAGATGACAGCGTGGGGTTGTTAGGCAACAGTGGTGCCGATGTAATTCGATGCCAATATCAGACAAAAGCGATCTAAATTATTATACGCATAAAAGAGTAATATGCGTAATTGCAATATTAAGTATACAGAAACAGTATTTTGTGATATTTTGAAGTCAGTTATTTTATTAAATCTTTGTGAAAAAGAAAACATAATATAAAAAAAAAATTAACAGACGATGATGTATCAGCGCTCGCAAAATATAAATTATTAAAATGACAGTAAGCCATCCATGTGTGTATTCTTAGATCTATCAAAAGCCTTTGACACTGCGAGCAATTATCTTGTGTTGCAGCTCCTGGAGGATGACGGTCTCCGAAATTTGACACTACTTAATAACTTTTAAGACTTTCTCTACTAATAAACTCAGCCCCTTTTGAGTCCATACCAACATACTAATCCGGGAAATTCATTAGCCTTTGAATTAGATTTTAGACTGAATTTTCAATCAATTTCTTTCTTTTTATTGTCTTATGATTGTCTCCAATCTTAGAAATTAAGATCTGTTAAAATCTTTTTCAGCTCTCATTTAAAATTATTGTCCAGTTGCTTCTCACGCTGACATTCCATAAATAAATTATTCAAAAAATTCCTCCGAATCAACACCGACTGACTGAATGCGATCGTCATTAGCCTGGCCTAATTATTCAGGACCCGATTTCGGATTTATGTGAATGTGCATTATTAATTTAATTAGCTAGATTTATTTTGGGATCGATCTGTTCAAACATTGATTCGCATTTGAATGAATTTGAGTTTGTGTGAAAGCGGTGAGCCTATACAGGAATAATGAATTTGTTTTAACTGGGAAACGCGGGAACTGGCTGGCGGGACTTTCATCAGGATAACAGGAACACAAGGAGGTTGGAATTATGTTATCTACGGGTTGCGTCGTAATATTTTAATAAAATATTAACTTGCAAGAAACTAATATCTTATATACATTGTCAAAATAGGTTATCATTTTAAAATAAGATCTACTAAAATGTAAGAGCACAAGCAAATAAATTCGATTATCTCCGGTTTTGCATTTTGAATCCCTGCTATACAGACAACCAGTATTACACAAAATTGTATGTATGGTCGCTTCACAGGGTCGTTTACGGTGAAGTGAGATGAAATCAAACAAACAAAGATAGAATATAAATAAACGTTTCCGATTGGTTCGATCCCTTTCTCTTATTGGGTCATGTTTCATCCTTCCTCCATGTGTTTCATGTTGTTATCTTTTTTTATTTTTTGACATTTGTGCATCGTGGAAGCATGTGCTGAGAAATATAACCTCAAAAATCAGCAGTTTCTAACAGATTTTGCATTTAACACGTTTTCACTTTAAAAGTATGGCAACATTAGATAAAAATAAATTCATAGATCTTAAAAAATTTATTAAGGAAGAACCTGGTACTACCCAGAGACTGCAATCGATAAAAATACCTCGTGATTTAAATCTTGGACTTGCAAAACAATCAAAAAAAGTATTCGTCCCTAACGTAAATGCCATTAGAAATAGAGATAAGCCAAAAGAGTAAGTACAGTAGATTGTTTTAACGGGGATGATTTTAATGTTGAATTTGTAGATATAATAGGAGGGATGATAAAGGAAAAGAGAAGTATAAGGATCGAAGACAAAATAAAAAAGACAATGCTCCCAGATATGTACAATCATCTGGAGTCTTCTCTGAAGGTGTTGGTAATGATGTAGTACGGACTAGAAGCTGGGGTGGTGCAAGAGGCGAGAGAGACAATGATAGTGCTGGTATACCTAGCATTTCTATGCCTACCATTAAGAAAAATTCATTCCAAGTACCTATTTAAAATAATTTTAATTTTAACTCAAAATATTTATACTGTAATTTTAGGTGGATAAAAAGAATGAGGATAGTGTATTAAATAACATAACCGGCTGTGATGAAGAAAGTGATGATGAAAAACTGCCTTTCAAGCCAATTTCTTGGCAAAATAAATTACAAAAACCCAGTAAGAATATTTATAAATAAACAGGAATAAATAAATTCTCATTTTTTCTATATTTCAGCTCTAGTAACAAATATTAAAAAAGAAGATGAAAATGATGTAACACCTAATTTAAAAAAATGTAAGTTTATAATACTTCATTTTTTTTAATAACCTTTCACATATTTATTTTTTGCAGTGAAATTAGAATGTGATGATAATTATAACCCTCCATTGGTGTCATCCAATGAGTATTTAGAAGGAGATAAATTTAGTAATAATAATCCATCCATCTCATTGTGGGGGGTGAGTACACTTTGCACAATATTGCAATAGATTTCAAATTATTATGAAACTCTTTAAAATTCGTTTTTTTTAACATTCATTGATTTAATATATAAAATACATAGTCTGTATATTTCTTTAACTACTTTGTAGGTAGTCTACTTTTTTTATATAACTTTTATAGGTACACTCTTATCAACTATCTAACTTGCCTCGTCCATTTATTATTTTATATTAAAATGAAACTAATAAAGATTAATTATTATTTACTTTCATAATTTGTTTATAGCTGTTAATTAAAAAAAAATTAAAGAATTATAAAAAACAAGCCATCAGATACATTCCTATTGTATTCAATTATTAATGCAATATGTGAAACAATCATTGTTAATATGTTTGTTCTGCTGACATTGTCCTCATTGTTTTTTTTAGTTACCAGACTCTTTTGCTGGGAAAGGTTTAAGTGATGATCCTGATTGCAAAAAGTTATTTGACTATTGCCTGACTGACATGCTTGAGGGGCAGATTGGGAAAGTTGTTGTGAGAAAGTCGGGACGGATGGAAATCCACATAGGCCATATGAAATATGAATTGGAACCTGGAGAGTCTGATTCCTATAAAGAGGTAAAAACTCAGTTCATGTGCCCAGTCGGCAGGAATCTTTAATATTTAGTTAGTGTCTAAGGATTCCTTAAATATGAATAATATTATTAAAAGATTGTTTTATAACCTACATATACTTTACAAAATCCTAAATTAAATATTTTGTTTGAAATATTCAATCCTGTTTCAATTCGAATTTTGTTTTGATAAGATAAGAATTTAGAAAGTTCTGACATAGATTGTGGGGTCCAATTTAAAATTGCCTTTGAGGATTGCTTAATATGTTTTGGAAATATTATTATTATGTTTGTATCAGTGGCAATCAGATAATACATACATTTTTTCAGGATATAATTTCTTTGGAAACTCAGGAAAGCAGCAAGAAGACCAATGCAACTATTTTAGGTAACATACAAAATCGGTACTTTTTATCACCAGACTGGGATAGACTACTTTTGTAACACCAAACTGCCTTAAGTAATGCGCAAATGAGTTTTTAAGCTTTGCTGACAATGATTGTGATACAACTTACTGTTATAATGTGTTAATAAATAAATAAATAACCATTCCTGCTTATAATATAAATGAGAGTTCTTCTTAAACCCTTCCTGTTAACAATTTTTATTATTTTATTTAACAAATTTTGGGATTCAGTCCCCAAAATGCAACCAAATAGTTACAGCCTTTGATACCACCAAAATTACACATGTGGTTCATGATCCCTCACCTAATATGGCCTCCGACCACCACGTCTATTTCTTACAGGTTGTTCTTGTTCATACTTCTAACATCAATTAATTAAAAATCTTTCTATTTGCAGCTTCCACACTTATAAGCTGCATTTAAAATACGTTAAATAAGAAATTGTATTAAAGTCAAACATATTTTTCTAGCTTACAAGGGAGTGAAGAAAAATCACTTCGGTATTTAAATAGATTTGGATATAGTGAAAATGTCAGATATACCTATAGCCAAGAAAACGTAATGGGTAGGTACATAACAATGTTGTTTTTTTATCATTTGTAAATATAGGTATATTTATAATTAAATGTTATTGTAAAAATCATGCAACAGGATGTAATAAATATGTAGAAGATATTATAAATATATAAAACAACCAATTTTAATAAGAAAGACATTCAACAACAATACAAAAATCAGAAAAAATTAAAGCAACTTCCTTAAATATGATAAAACTAGTTCCATATAAGAATATGGATATAACAAGTGAGTTTGTCTATTCTGGTTAGGCTAGATTCTAAATAAACAAAAATTTATTCTTTTAGATTAACTAAAAATAAGCAATTGCACACCATTGACACTATTTTTGTTAATAAGCTGTTGCATCGGTTAAAAATACTAAAAATAGTTCAATGACCTATACGCATTTTTAGTCAAGGACAATGTAATGAATTTCATTTGTGCATTAAACCACCAAATTAAATTCGAATGTACCCGCGCAATTTTCGATTTTGACATGTTCACCAGACGAGATTTTCGACCAATCCAATCCACGTCAACCGCCTACCAGTGGCGGAACGAATATAATTTGTGATTACATAAAAATCAGTTTACTAAAATTATTACAGTATAATTGCATTGATCTCCAACAAATTCATACCTTTACCAACCTCATATTAAGGAGCGATTACTATTGAATTGATTAGCTTAAGTATTGTTGGCCGAATTTATCGTTCTAATAGTGACAACGTAATTAGAGGCAAATATAGTTCATGCTTAAATACGACTTATTGCAAACCTGAAGTTTTGACATTATAGAGTCTATCCTTATAGATATTTCTAACCTCATTTTAAAAACTTTAAATTATAGTTCATCTTTGTTGTTGTTTATAATACATAATATGGAAGAGACATTAGAAATGCCCATTTTAGAATATTTAGATGCTGATATTAAATATTTACTTTTTAAAATCTTCTAACCGATAAGAATGTCGGTGAGCGCCAGAGCTGCGTAATTCCTAGTTAAAAAGTAATTAATAATTACAATAACTTTTTTTTCATGTAATTTTTAATTATATTTAAGTACTTTTTTCTCTCTCAAAGTAATTTGGAATTGTAATTGCAGCAAAATCTGTGGAGGAATTGTACTTTGTAATTATATTAATTTATATTATTTAAATTGTCTAAATACAATTACGTGTCATAAGTACAATTACTTTTTCAATTACAATTACTTTTTCCAAATTACAATTACATTAATAAGTACAATTACTTTTAAATGCGTGTTTATGAGATGCATGCGTGATATAAAAACAAACAATTTCTTGTTCGAACCGGTCACTAAAGATCGGACTTGCATCCATATATCATTTGTTTGAATGCATTTGAGGAGAGCGTTGTGCCGTGAAGCAGTGAAATTGTTCAACCCAAAATAACAACAGTAAGGGGCAAGTAGATGCAGAAATTAAACACAGCAATATCCTTAATAAAGTCAGTTCTAGAACTTAAACGATCTGCACATGATCCGATGTCAAAATAGGAGCGGTGATAATAGTGGCTGACCTTAAGTGAACTTGCAATATCTCTTTAATAAACAGTCTTTTATTTAATTAAATGTACGTAATATTTGCACCAAGAAGGCGAAGATTAGCTAAAGCTATACAATTTTTATACAATTATCCTACATTTATTTTTTACTGAGTAAAAAATAGGTAAATTAGCTCCGATTGTAACTGAATTTGGTAATAATAATAACATAAATAAAACAACATACTGGTCCAAAAATAACGTGTTCCTTAGTAAGCAGAAAGGTCTTTTCTTTGGATATAATTCAATACCTGTCTGTTGCGGTATTAGCCAAAGGAGTATTTTGTGTTTTATTTATTTAATTTTACGTCTTGGTCACATTTGAGTTGGAATTGTTTTCCTTTTTTAATAATAATGTTTATTTATCAAATATAACACATTTTTTTTTATTTGAAAATCATTTAACTAAGAACTGCATCATCTTAATGTCTTTCATATACTTCACTAAGATAAAAATCTTTGTAGGAAAATTTAAAAAAAACGTCGATATTTATATGGAACACTAGGTGATGATATTTAATTCATGCAAAAAATAAAAAGATACATAAATGTACAAAAGTACTTGTAACATAAAAATTAATAGAATTTGTAAATATCGTCTACCGCTTAAAGTTTATCATTACCAGACGGGTTAGCCTACCATTTGCCTTTCGTAGGATACGTCTATGGTGTAAAATAGAAGGAAACGAAGAGTGACGATAGACAACGACAGTGTCGATCGAAAGAAAGCGGTGCGAGCGCCCCCTCCGCATCTCTGTTGTGTCCCCTACTACAAAACTTGACAATTTTGGCTGGAAATATGGCTGTAAAGTAACCAATGACCCTTTGTTTGAATCGCAATGTTTTCGTCCGAAGAACACAATACAAATATTTAAAAAAAGCAAGCAAATGGTACAAATTCAGAATCTAAGTATGTGTGTGAGTCAAGAATCAAAAGTGTTGTTAGTTTGAATGGTGTGGGGTGAGCCATCGACTGATTTTCGAAGCAAAAGGGGTGAAGAGCCAATAGCAAAGTGGTGAATATCAAGTGGTGCATCGAGAAGGCAGTAGTTCGGATGGCCCGTTAATGTATTCGCGGCCACAGTGTTTTACGGGTACGGGTGCTCGGGTTCGGTCTAATGGTTGGCCATCAACCTCTTGAAGAGTCAGCATTGCCCTAGAGATGTCTAGTGCTGTAGTGGTAAATTCTGTGAAAATGCCGATGTCTAGAACACAGTTGTTTCCAGTTTCTTCTCATTCTTACATCCAGGAAGGTGGCGGTGGCAGTTTACCACCCCTGAACAAGGGCTCGCTCAAAGAACAGAGCCCCCCTGCTGCCTCCACAGCTTCATCGGCTAATTCTGCGGGTCTTCCAGAGCTGTCGTCCGTCGGGGGATCTTGCGTACTGCAATGCATGCAGTCTCATATGACTCGAGGAGTATCCCTTACCCAAGTAAAACCTTCAACAGTTCCTGTTTCAGCAACAGAGTGCAAACCTAAAACGATGGTCGCGACTCCTGAACAAGTTATGAAACTATACATGAACAAGCTCACACCTTATGAACATCATGAAATTTTCAACTACCCCCAAATCTATTTTATTGGTGCCAATGCTAAGAAAAGGCCTGGTATAATCGGCAACCCAAATAACTGTGATTATGATAATGATCAGGGTTCATATATACACATTCCACATGACCATGTAGCCTATAGATATGAAGTTCTTAAAGTGATAGGCAAAGGCTCCTTTGGACAGGTGGTAAAGGCCTATGATCACAAAAACCATATGCATGTTGCACTCAAAATGGTTCGAAACGAAAAAAGATTCCACAGACAGGCCCAAGGTGAAGTCCGCATATTAGAACACTTAAGAAAACAAGACAAAGACAACACAATGAATGTTATCCACATGCTGGATTCATTTACCTTTCGAAATCACATGTGTATCACGTTTGAGCTACTCTCTATAAATCTCTATGAACTTATCAAAAAGAATAAATTTCAAGGGTTCAGTTTGCAACTTGTCAGAAAATTTAGTCATTCGCTGCTGCAATGTTTAGATGCCCTCAATAGAAACAAAATCATACATTGTGATATGAAACCTGAAAACGTTTTACTCAAGCAACAAGGCAGAAGTGGTCTAAAGGTAATTCATTATTATTTCTTTATGAATATCATTCACTCTTTTTAAGATTCTACCTACCAAAAAAAGAAGATTTAAATATGGTATAGAAATTCTTCTTATCCCATTTGAGTGCTACAACTGTAGGTTTTGTTATTATAATACAAAGATTACAAGTCTAAGAATAACTTAGATGGGGCTCAGTATACAAGTAAAAGTAGCTAAGTATAGCAAATCATAATACCAGAATTATTATATTATTTGTCAGGTCCTTAAAGTTTTGCGCCACCAAATGCCAATTTTTATAAACAAATTTGTTAATTTCAAAGTTGCATTGGATTGTCTATGTTTGTCAAGTCAAAAGTTTCGTTAGTCCACCCTCAAAAGCCAGATAGGTATTTTAATAATACAAAAATGAGCATAAGTTGGGTCCTTAATACATTTCATTTGAATTAAATACTACGGCAATCGTTTGTCGACCCACAGTAAATTTGTTAACAAAATAAGAAGCCCCAAATATAAACAATTATTGACCTAAGCACTTCTGATTGAAATTTCATCAAACTTAGTACTGGAATTATTTCTCCTCACATTATTTTTGCTTGGCCATCCAACAGAAATTAGTTACTTATTAATAAATAAATCCAAAATATAAACAGTTATTAATTCACTCACTTATGTTTTTGTTTAAACTCCTAAACAACTTGATCAGCCATCCAAATTTGCTACTTAGATTTAATGTTCCAAAAGTAGCTTCTAGAGTTGACCTTGCTACCCCTCAAAACAAATGGTTTAAAATGTTCACCACTTCACAGGATGTGTTTAATTTGTAATACACTAAATTACCAGTTTGATATTTTTCACTGTTGTATATTTGCAATTAAAGCATTTTACTTTGAAATCTGATATTCTTGTTTTAGAATTTACCTAAGTCTCTGTTCTTTAATTGGTTTAACATGTTTGAACAGTGTTCTAATAAATAAATAAATAATAACTACTGCAATCATTTGTCCACACATTATTTTCAGTTGTCCATGCCTTATTATAATTTGTCCACCCAGAATGTAAACAAATATCATTCTAAACATTTCTAACTGCATTTTATTAAATACTGACTACTGGAATCATATTTTATACACTCATTATTTTCTTTTATCCATCCAAAAGAAATTAGTTATTAACAAATAAGGAACCCAAAATATAAACAATTCTACACTTAAAGACAAGAAAGAATAATTTATTATTTTTCCTAAAACCATAAATATTCAATGTTGGAAACTAATAAAATAATATTTACATATAATTTACCACACCAGGTGTGTCTTAGAAAGAAAACTACCTGCTCACTCTTTATTACCTGAGGGAATATTCAATTTGGATAATATAAAATCATTAAAATAAGTTCTTTATTTCTTTTGGGTGGACAAACAATTCTAATACCAAAGATAACCCCAATGAGATTGCAGATTGTCCTGCAAGGAAAGGGACTCAAACACCCTTTGTGGGACCTGAGATGTTCTGCAGTATCAGCAGTAACACAATATTGGAAGAGATTAAAAAAAGAATTGGACAGTAGAAGAAGGGATAATTGGACCAATCTCTTGGGGTTAAGACAGGCTAAGATACTTCTGGGTGAATATAACCAGAACAGATTGGAAGCCTGAGCAACTCTATTCATTGTAACAGGGATACTTAACTGACATTGCTGACTCAAAGGACATCTTAGTAAACTTAGAGTACTAGAAGTTAGTGAGTGCAAATTCTGTGAGGAGGAAGGTGAAAGGTCAATTCACATTCTGACTGAATGTGTGGAACTCCAGAATATACTTTCATACCAAATAGAAGAGGTTGAAGTCACTTCAAATCTTACACTTCCTTGAGAAGATAGGATTTGAAGGGTTGTTATAGATATCCAGACTATTTCCCCATCATAACATAACCCCAATAGTTAATTTTAATAAATTGCAATTAGAAGTATGTATATATTTATATTAATATTTATTGTTTATTATTTTGGGATTATAGTTAATAACTAATTTATGTTGGGGTAACATGAAAATAACGAGTGGACAAACGATTGCAATAGTTTTAACAAATTGCAATTAATTGTTTTGAGCTCTTTATTTTGTAAATAACTAACTGGGTGGACAAACAAAAATAAGGTGAGACCTCGGGCGAGATAAATGATTGTCATATTTAATGTGAATTAAATGTAATATTGTTGTCTGTAAGGACCATGTGCATTATTTTTTAAATATTTCGCTTTTGAAGGTGGATAAACGAATGCCAGTTAAAAATTAATAAAATTGAAATTTTTAATTTTGTCATAATTTTTGTTGAATTGTGAACAAACGAAATTTCACCGACTTTATTGTCTCATTTCTAGAATTAATTGCTAGACATTAAACAAATTTTTTGTTGCACAAATTGCTAACTTCATGGACCTTTATTTGCCTCATTTCTAGAATTAATTATTAGTAGGTAGATATTGAAATATGATAATATTGTAACAAACTAAGCATACTGCGATTTTTTCATTTTTCTAACCTATTAGCATCCTATATACAATTTTATTTATTTACAAATCACATTTTTATAGCATATTTTTTTTAATTTTGGTTACTAATAAAATTAGCTCTCAAATGAAGTGTCACGCTTTTCAATACAGCTTCTAATCCGTTTGAAGGCGCTAAAATCAATAGCAGCGTAACGAATAGATGAATAGTCATATTGCCGAATTTTCCATAAAATTACCTTTTTAATGATAGGTCATACTTGGTACTTTTCTTATTTAAATTGCATTGGTTAGGGTGCCAGAAAGAAGGTGAATGACGTATGACAGTTGATATGATAATGGCTTATAATGACTTCTGTACGTTTTCATCCGACCACCCTGTATTTAAGCATTGTAAATGCTCAGTTACATTAATCAAAACTATTTCTTTGTCATTTGTAATCTTTTAAACCTATGGTATTTGTTAAATATATTATTTTCAAACTTTTCCTGTATATTGTGATGAATCTATACCAAAGAATTATATAGAAATACCAGATTATCAACTTTATTATGTCATATGTCTTCCTTTAGGCCAGGTGTATATCTATTGTTTCAAAATTTGTATTATATTTATATTTGAAGGCATTGTTTGTAATTATGTAATACTATTTGCTCATATCTTGTCACAGTTTCATTCAATATAGGTACCCCTATGGTAGGTATAATTGCAGTATAAAATTAAAACACTTTATTCAGTTTAATAATTCTCAGGGCCGAATTTAAATATTCTATTAGTATGTACCTACCTTCTATTTTATTGAGCCTCATTTACATCAATGTTAATTTGGGAATAATTAGGTTCCAGGAAGAATATAATTAATTATTACTGAAATATATTACTAAGTACCCATAGATTGAAGACTATAAAATAACATCGCTTTTTAATTATTCATTAATTCTGCTGAAGTAGTTTAACTTGAACTTGAAAATAACAAGCAGTCGGTTATGAAAAAATGGCTTTGGCGAATTTCTTGTTTTTTTTTTTTTTTGATATATTTTTTCCTTAACAATAGTGTCTAGGAGCACATCTCACTCCTATGACTAGTTCTTTATATACACGAGGGGTAAACTTTAAGATCCTCATCCTTACTCAATTTTAAGACAAAAAAATTCTTATAAACGTAGGGCTATAGGGCTTTATTTTCAAAATACAGGGTGTTGACATATCCAAAAAAAAAATTTCCTAAATATCTAGCAGTGGAAAATTAGTATCAAGTTGAAACTTGGTGAACATTTTTACTGCAGCAAGAACAATGGTTTACGCAAAAAAAGGTTTCTGATTTCACCAGTGGCGCGCGCAGCGGTAACTAATGAGATTTAATTTTAAAAGATATGCTACTGTTTGTATAACATTGTATGGAATTTATTGAAAATCTCAAAAACGTAAAAATTGGTAAAATAACATTTAACAAAAATTTTAAAACAGGTTAGTAGGTACCTGTTTTAAAAATGCTGAAAATGTCCGCCTTCTTTTTTATTGTAAGCATTCCCTCGTTTTATAATTGACTGCCGAATATGATGAAATATTCCCTGCGCTTGTCTTATTTGATCACGTGACTGTCGTTTTATAAACGAAATACTTTAAATTACCCCAAAGGAAAAAATCTAATGGATTCAAATCCGGTGACCTGGGTGGCCAAAATGCGAACCCAAGCGACCGATTCAGTGCCTACCATAATTTTAATCTAAAAATTGACATGTTACTCAGTTAAAGTGAGGCGGAGCCCATCTTACATCAATCACAAAGTTAAGCTCCTCGTTTTTTAAAAAACACAGGGTGCTTTACTAGTTTCGAACGAATCCAGCAGAGCACCTCGGTTTTTTAAAGCTTTTTTTCTAAAAACAACCTCGCCACACTTTTAGGCTACTTTTAGGATCTTGAAGTATTATATAACTTTACTAAAAAAATTGCCATTTTTAAATAATACAGGGTGCTTTGTTGGAACAATTGCAGTCTGACCTAAACAGGTTTGCTACCTGGTGTAAAAATAACGCCCTTTCTATAAATATTACTAGGTGCACAACCATGCATTTTACAAGATCCCACAATCCTACTCTTAACTGTTAGAGTATTGACAGCGTCAATCTCGATCAGCGTTACTCAAAGTGTGCTCCGCGGAGCCCTGGGGTCACAAATGCAATCATGACACCTCACAATTGCCTGGTGAGAACTGACTGAGAAGTGACCTGGAATACTGTTCTGTTATTTGACAACCTACTTACTCCTGTCATATTAATAGAATTGAAAGGGTGCAACGTAAATTCGTAAAATACCTGCTCTTTAAACATCGACTTTATAGCCATAACACATGTTATCAAATGAAATGAATGCTTTGCGGCATGCAGAGCCTGGAATGCATGAGAAAACAGGCTAAATTAATAGGTGGTTCTATCAAGTGCGGGTCACTGCTTGAGAGAGTTCAATTATTGGTTCCTGCCCGACGGACTTCGTACAATCACTTTTGAA